CAATTAATCTTAAAAGTCAAAGAATATGCAAAATTAAAATAAGAAAACAGATTAAGATATGGGCTACATGTTCAATCTTAACCCAACAAGTAGCAGCCCAATTACTCCAAAATAAAGGCCCATGAGAAATAATCCATGTGATAAGTCATGCTTTGGTTCATTTTCTTTTAATTAATTTTTTTTGAAATTTTGGTTCGAAAATCATTGTTAAAAAATAATAAAATTTAGCGGTGGACAAATTTCGTTAATCTTACTTAACGATGAATTTTTTTAACTAAGCAAATCAATGAGGACATTCTCAGCTAATTTATTTCGACCAAATATTCAAAAAAAAAATATTTGGTCATATGCACTTGTTTTTCATCCTTAAAACTCGATAACTCACAAGCCTTTCGTATTTAAAGATATGTGATTAAAAGGGATAGTTAGCTAAGAAATCGAGTAATTGGCTTGAAAAGAAAAAGAAATACAAGATAAAAAAACAAAAGGGAAAGGAATAAATTGAATAAATTAAAGAAAGAATATATAAGTTTGTAGAATTAGAAAGTATCTATTTTAAAAAAATATCTAAATATACATACTCCAAATTAAAATACATATAATATTTGAAAATCTTATTATTTTCTTAAATTTTAAAATTTAATGTTAAATTTTAAATCAAACAAAATAAATTAAAGTGTAATGTCCTACAAAATGTTTGGTACGCCGCTCATAGTGTTGGCCCACCATCTTCGAAAGGACAAGTTATTAAAATTATTAATCAATCATCACTTCGGTATTTCTTATAAATAATTGGTTCATAATATTTTTTATTTCATAAAAATTAATGTATAGATTACAATATTCTTTTTATTTTATCATGGTGAGTATTATACTTAAAAATATGCATTTAATCAATATAGAAAAAACAAAATGAAAAATCTATAATTATTGGTCAAATTAATTCATATTCATTGATTGAAAAGTTGACATTTGAAGCTGATATATTACTCGTTATAAAAGTGACACATATATACCCTTGCCGTTATACAAACGGCTCACATATACCCCTGATGTTACAAAATGGATCATATATACCCTTCATTTAACGGAAGTTAAAAAATTAGTTTTAAATTTATATTTATTACTTGTAATTTTTTTAAAAAAAACATTTAGGGGTATATATGATTTTTCTATCAAAGTTCAAGGTATATTTTAATTTTATCATACATAAATTATTTTTTGACTTCTTTTATTATAATTATTTGAGTTTCTTATTCTTATTTTGTTTTTTTCTTTCATTCCTTAGTTTACAGGAAAAAAATTTAAACTATTTTTTTTGTGTGAATTGTAATTTAATTTCGTATTCGAAGAAAAAATTTAGTCATCTACAATAAGTTTTACAAGAATATTAGTGAAACATAAATGAATTTCATTATCAAAATAATAATTATAAATTAGTCATTAAAATAAAAAAAGTCAAAAAAATATATTTTATGAAGATTAAATTTACTCATATGGGATTATATTTTTTAGAAAAAAATAAAAATTTAGAGTAATTTTTTTTTCATTTCCGTTAGAGGAAAAGGGTATATGTAAGACATTTGTTTACATGTAGGGATATATATGAGTCACTTTCATAACAAGGGGTATATCAACTCTAAATAACAAAGTTTAGGAATATATCAGACTCTTTCCCCAAAAATCAATCTACTAGTCATGATAATTATAATAATGTGCTGTTAACAAATGAAAATATCACAAATTTACAAAAGTTATTGATTTTACATATTACTTGGAAGTCAATATTGGAACTCAAATAATTGGAGTATCATATCACTATAAGAAAACTGTGACACATTCTTATCACAGTATCCCAAAGCAAGTCGTCAATAATTCATCCAGCCTGCTCTAATATGATATGCGACATGAACATTAATCTCCCTACGTTCTAAGATTATACACTCACGATACTTGAACTATATCTCTTAAATATAACTTGTGTATTAATCTCACTTTCATTTATAGGATAATAACAAGTCAAACACAAAAGTTAAATTTATAAACATTAATCTCCTTATACCAAGAGTATATATCCAAGATACTTGAATTACCCTCTTAATACATATTAATCTCACTTTTTTTCACTTATAGAATAGTTAATTTCAAAATTAAAAAAATATTTATTCTCACTTTCACAAATAGAATAATTAATTTAAAAATTTTAAAAAATTAAACAAAAAAAAAGAAGGACCCACTTGACCGGGGGATTGAACCCGACGTGAATCAAACACGCAACCTTCTGATCTGGAGTCAGACGCTACCATTGCGTTACGGATCCGTTGGTTACATCCGATTTACTAATTTGCTTATTTAGAAAATCAATTGATGTGTTCTTATTTAAAGTCAAAGTATATAAATAAATTATCAAACCAATATTAGAAAATTAGAGGAATCTCATAATTTCAAATAAAAGAAAATCTCTTTTAATCTAAACATATTTGATAGCATCCAAAAATGAATATTTTGATAGTAAAAGTTGATAAACACACAAAAAAAAAAAGTATTTAAAAGCAATCTCGTGACTAAAATTAAATATCTGAATTGAAAGTATTTTATCTATTTAGAAAGTAGCTCTAGACACACATCATTGCTAAGAGGCGAGTTGGGAATTTCTTATTATTCAGGTGTTGTCATTGATATAAATTTAGATTAATCAGATTAATAAATATTTTATATCAAAATTGTTTTTTTTTCTTAAGAAAAGAAGTCCATAAATTAGGTGCGGTGCTTTATTCATGAAACATTATGTAAACACTCGGTCCGAGTATATTTTTTCTAACATTATTCATTGTTTTAACTTGTTTATAAATAAAATCAATATTACGTTATTCTCACGCCACTATTTTAATTATTATTTTTTTCCATTCGATTCACATAGTCATACCGGTTCTTGATTAACTCGGAGTCATTTAAGGAGAAAACACTTTTTCATAAATAAATTGTTTACTCACAAAATTCAAATTTAAAAATTTCTTATTAAATATTTCCTATAAAATAAGAAAAATCGTATTCATTTCTCTTTTCATGGAATTGCAAGTAAGGTCCATGTGGACATTAATTTGTTTTCTTCTTTTTCTAAAAACCTATATTTTAAAAAAAATTAGTTATATAATTTCTATTTTTTTCAATAACATACTTAATATAATTCCATTAGTGAGGTCTACACAAATCTTATTTTCTATTTTGTAGAAATAAAAAAATTATTTTGATAGACTCTCAATTTAAATAAAGTCTGTCAAACAATTTGAAAATTGAGATATATATATCAAACAATACAAGAAGATAATGTGAAATGAAGACTATTACATAACAAATAGGAAAAAAGAACAATAACAACAACAAAATAATACAATAATCGAAGAACAAAAAACACCAATGATAGCCAAAATGCAAAATTAGAAACTTCAAGAATAATGTTAATATTACTTATATAAAGGAAATTCCAAATATAACCACCAAGCGTATTTCGCAAGGAAGTGAGAGAACGCTCAGCAACTAATCAACCTTCTATTTTGATTCGAAATCTTCAAACCCTCTTATCTAAAGTCATACCGTCAATAAAATCAAAATATGTTATATCTTGTTTAATTAATCACTTTCACCCTATATTTCTTCGATCAACTTCTATTATAATTCTTGTTATTATCAAAATTCAAATTCGAAATCTCTAAACTAGTATATTTTTTCTTATTTCACAACTTAAAAGTTGCATATGATGTGGTGAAGTGTAATGGTGGTGAAGTGGTGGAGTAGGTGTGGACACAATGAATAATGAGATGTGGGCAATTTTGGTCAATGAAGCCACCCATCTTATTGGTTGTGGTACCTTCATTTGCCCACCATACTATTAGTCATGTATTAGAGTGATATTGGACATTTCACTAAGCTATGTGTCATGGCCTCATGGGCTTGTTTTTAATGACACACAACAATTGCTAGACCCTCAAAACACTAGGGGTAGGGTTAAGGTGGTGGTTGGGTCACTAAAATATCTAGAAAAGTTAGTAGGGGTGGTGGTGGTGGAGGATTAGTGGAGTAGGTGTAGGATGTGCATGTTAGCATTATCAAAGACTCTTTATCTCTCTCTCTCTCCCCCTTATCCTTTTGTGTGTCATCATTCATCATAATCCCCACCCAAACAACTTGCTCAAAATTCAATGTCCACCCCCCCTACCTCTCAACATCATCATTCAACTACCTCAACCTTCCTCCCCCCTACCCACCATGTCTGAACATCATCATATACAAGTACAAGTACAACAACCTCAACCACCCCTTAACTTTTGCTATCTTGCGCCTCTCTAGCACTACCCATTTCCCCCACCTTATTTTCCTACTCATTCAACATCATCATATAATAACATTTATCGCCTCGTTTTTATTCATTAGTCGATAGATAACATGTGAATATTTTTATTTGCAAGGGACGATAAGTTAGTTAAAAAATTATTTACTCATTATTCACATCACTTATTATGTCTCGAAATCAACCACCCTACCACCTTTGCTATCTTGAGCCTCTCTAACACTACCTATTACCCACCTTACTCATTTTACATCTCACTCGACATCATCATCATTATATCATACAACCTCCACCACCTCATTATTTTTTGCTAACTTGCGCCACTAACCCATCCCCCAACCCCTACCATTCACACCACCCTTTATGTCTCAACATCAATCATACAACAACCTCAACCAACCCCACCACCTATGCTATCTTGCACCTATCTAGCACTACCCACCCATTTCCCACCCACCATCACCACTCACCACCCTATTTTCCTCTACTTTTATATTTCACTCAATATCATCAATACAACAACAATCTCCACCACCCCACCACCTTTGCTATCTTGCACCACTCTAGTTCTACCCATTCCTCCACCCCTTTTTTTTTATTTAAAAGCCACTCAATTTTGCTATAAACAAAACCACACTCACACCATTAAAGGATGTCGTCTAACGTTGATTCTACCGTCGTAGTAGCAGAAGATGCCGTCCCGGAGGAGAAGCCACCGCCGCCGGTGAGGAGATTTCCACCGCCGTGTTGGACCCAAGAAGAGACTTTAGCTCTTATTGAAGCCTACCGTGAACGATGGTACGCGCTCCGCCGCGGGTACCTACGGACGGCGGATTGGGATGCGGTGGCAGCTACCGTGACCAGCCGCTGCCCAGATGCTTCTCCGGCGAAAACATCAGCTCAGTGCCGACACAAAATGGAAAAACTCCGGCAACGCTACCGTGCTGAGAAACAGAGATCCCTTTCCTGTCCTACCGGTAGGTTTTTCTCATCTTGGTTCTTCTTTGATAACATGGACGCCATGGAAAATGGTACTACTGTTGCAGCAATCAGATCTAATAATCAACAAATCGCCGAGAAACAACAAGCGGTTACTGCTGTTTCTGGTGATGGGTATGCTTTAAAAACAATGATGGATCAGAATTTTTTGAAATTGAAGATCAATCAAAAGAATGGTATAGATTCACCCCCAAATTTCATGTTTAATCATGCTTTAGCTGCGACAAAATCCGAAAAGATAAACTTTGCTACTAGGATTCCAAATGGGTATTGTTCATACATGGATATGGGATCTAACAAACAAGAACCTCCACATGATGTTGAGTTTTCAAGTGGGTATAGGATGAAAAATGGAATTTCAATGAAAGCGAAGCGAACAGGGAGGATTATTGGAGATGTAAATGGATTTGATCGAGGTGGGGGGAATTTTGTAATGAATCCTAATTTTGATTGTGATGAAGGAAGTGAATATAATGGAAGTAATGCTAGTGATGGTTTCCATATTAGGAATATGGGTGTTTCCAGCTCAAGAAGAAGTTATAATAGCGGGAATGTTGAACAACAACCCAATCTTGATTCTAGGTTCAGTCCTGGTTTGTCGAAATTCGGGAAGAAGGGAGGAGGTGGTGGTGGTTTAGGGATGAAGAGGGGGAGGGATCCGGTGGAAGAGATGGTTTTATCGATTAAGTTATTAGGCGAAGGGTTCATGAAAATGGAGAAAATGAAGATGGAAATGGCAAAGGAAGTAGAGCAAATGAGAATGGAGATGGAGATGAAACGTAACGAGATGATACTCGAATCACAGAAGCAGATTGTGGAAGCATTCGTGAAGGTCTTAGGCGAGGTTCACAAGAACAAGAATGCAAAGCCTGAATCATAGCTCTCTCTCTCTAAGGCCTTATGTTGACAACAACGACGACAACTCAATCCCAAACAAGTTGGAGTACGCTCGTTTTGATGATTCTTGATTTGTATGCTCTTTGCTTTACATTTGCTGTCTATTTCTGACTTGTGTTATCATCATAGTTCATCAAAGTTTTAGTCTTTTAGATCTGTTTGCATTTTCCAGGCAATCTGTAGCATATAGTAATGTGTACAGCTACTAGTTTTAGTAGTAGTAGTTGTTATTAATATTGTATTGTGTTGTAGTAGGATTATGAGAAGTGATGAGGGATTCATGTTGATCTGATTCTTAAAGAAATGTTACAACTCTTTTGCCTTTTATCAATTGCTTGACTACTTCACTTTTGTTGGTATTTGCTTTGTATATTCATATGCGGACCCTTAAATTTGCTCGGTTATTTTATTTAGTCGTCTGAAACTATGGCTTTGTGGAACTTGATGTGAGTTTATGTTGATTTCCATTGCTTCTGGAGGGCATTTGAACAAATACGAAAACGCTTCAATCCCAAACAAGTCGGATCATGTTGGTTCTGAAGGTTCTTGATTTTTGTCTGTGTTTTACATTTGTTGCCTATTTCTGACTTTGTGTGATTATCATAATTGATCAAAGTTTTAGCCTTTTAGGTATGTTGGCATTTTCCAGGCAATATATAACATGTAGTATTGTGTACAGCTACTAGTTTTATATCTCTCTCCGTTCTAAAATAAGTGGTGTTTTAGCTCATTCCACGCCCATTAAGAAAAAATAATGAATGCAAGGTATAATTTACGAATTAATTGGTTAACTGCTTTGCTTCTGATGAAATTATTATTTGGAAAAAAACTTTCATAAGGAAAAATATCCTTTGCTTCAAATAAGGAAAAACAAGTGCATTATACTAAACTAGTTTCAAGATTTTATTAATTAAAAGCTCCCACTTCATTAATTGAGCAAAGCTTTGGCTAAAAAGTAATGGAACCTTTCTATTCTTACAAATGTTCACTTTTAAACTCTCATGTTATCCTTAATGTGAGAGATTATGGACGGACGTCCACAAAAAAATTTGGTATTTTTGACGTCAGGATCCGGATAACCCAAAAAATTGTTTACTATAGAACACGAAAATCGTCTAAATGGAGGGTATGCGTGCTTCGGGGCTCGTTTGACCTTGAAAATGGGTCGGATTGGCCGTGATGACCAACTGGCTGCATGGCCAAGGTATTGACGGACGTCCACAAAAATTTTTGGATTTTTTGACGTCTTAATTCGGATAACCCAAAAAATGATTTGCTATAGCACATGAAAATCGTCGAAATGGGGGGTATGCTCGCATTGGGGCTTGTTTGACCTTCAAAATGGGTCGGACAGGCCGTGAGGGCCAACCGGTTGCTAATACAAGGTCTTGACGGACGTCCACAAAAATGTTTGGCATTTTTGACGTAAAAATCCGGATAACCGAAAAAATGGTTTGCTATAGCACACAAAAATCATCTAAATGGGGGTATGCGCGCTTCGGAGCTCGTTTGACATTGAAAATCGGTCGGACTGGCCGTGAAGGCCAACCGGATGCATAGCGAAGGTCTTGACGGACGTCCAGAAAAAAGTTTGACATTTTTGACGTCGGAATGTGGATAATCCAAAAAATGATTTGCTATAGCACACGAAAATCATCTAAATGGTATGCGCGCTTCGGGGCTCGTTTGACCTTGAAAATTGGTCGAACTGGCTGTGAAGGCCAATTAGATGCATAGCCAAGGTCTTGACGGACGTCCACAAAAGTTTTTGATATTTTTGACGTCGAAATCCGGATCACCCAAAAAATGGTTTGCTATAGAACACGAAAATCGTCTAAATGGGGGGTATGCGCGCTTCGGGGCTCATTTGACCGTGATGGCCAACTGGCTGCATAGCAAAGGTAGTGACGGACGTCCACAATTTTTTTTGGATTTCTCGACGTCTTAATCCGGATCACCCAAAAAATGGTTTGCTATAGCACACGAAAATTGTCGAAATGGGAGGTTTGCTCGCTTTTGGGCTCGTTTGACCTTCAAAATGGGTCGGACTGGCCGTGAGGGCCAACCGGCTGCATAGCCAAGGTCTTGACGGACGTCCACCAAAAAGTTAGTCATTTTTTACGTCGAAATCCGAATAACCCAAAAAATAGGTTGCTATATAACACACGAAAATCGTCGAGATGGAGTATGCGCTTCGAAGCTTGTTTGACCTTTAAAATGGGTCGGAATGGCCGTGAAGGCCAACTGGATGAATAGTCAAGGTCTTAATTTAGTTTAATAAGTCTCAAATAATGTTAATGTGATAACTTCTATCCAGATACGGCTGTTGCCAGACTTGAAACCATAGTCTCTTAGACTACCAATAATCTTATAGTAACCCATAATCATAGGAATTAAACTACTAGTGAATTCTGTGCTCGGACTTTCCAATAATGTTGTTGTACTATGTGTCTAATCCATCAAAAACGCATAGCTTTTAAAGAAACACATTATTTTGGCAATATTGGAGTCTGAACAACATGGAGTAAATCTGGCCATTTTTCGACTTCGATCCTGGAAAATCAAAGCATCACTAGCAAGTAAAGTTGTGAAGTTATTTTTGCACTAAAAGGATTAGAAAAACAATACTCATGATCAGCAAAAAGACTTTACAACAATGGCAAAAGAACTAAATATAAAATCATTTCCCAGAAACAGAAAAAGGCCAAAAAAATAAAAATTACATGGCAGACCAAGCACTACAACAAAATGGAGAATACGAATTCTCCTTCGATTAGCATAGAAGAACTACCTGGATTACATCTTCCTGTAAGTATGAAAAACTAATGTTATACGAGGAACAATCTCAAGAATCCTTCGAACTGCTTGAGGTCTCATCTTTCCAAGATGCTTGCCATTGCTTGTCATAGAAAGTAGTCTCTTCCAACAACTTTTTGATAGTTTCTAAATCCTCATTCTTGCGGATTAGGAGGACACCAGCCACGGCTACAAACAATAGTGTTTTGCAAAAGAAATTCCCCATTTGGTCGACGAGGCCTATATCGGTCAAGCTATCCACAAAGTAGGCCATAAAGAAACCAATCATTGCAGCACGACCTGTACAGGATTCACGTCACCCCTTAGTTGATCAGCTTAATCCTAATATACGTACTGCTTTGTGTGTGAGAACAGGATACAATAGTGAGCAAAAAGGATATGGACCTCCTTAAACTCTAAAAGAGACAGTTCAAAGCTGGAACGGTCAGAAAACAAAGTAACAGTTGTAATGATTACTAAAATAGTGTCCATCAATGTATATTTTTGTTGCTACAGTCCTGTTACTATCTGCTATTTTCTTGTACTTCTTTTACTTCTTTCTTTGGACTGCTTAAGACTATTTTTCCCTTGAGCTGAGGGTCTATCAGAAACAGCCTCTCTACCCCTACGGTTGGGCTAAAGTTTACGCACTCTACCCTTCCTAGACCTCAGTTTGTGCGATTATACTAGGTATGTTGTTGTTATGTATATTTTGGTCCTTGTGGCATGAAAGAAATAAAAGATAATTTGAAAACAAGTCGTCAGCAGAGTATGTTTTAAAAAGTAGGATCTTGAAAATGTTATATTCTAATATTGGAGTAATATGCAGTTCCTTTTGGATGTAAATTCATCAACTTTTTGGATTCCCTGCCTATTTGAGGGGACAAGTCTTTTTGCTTTACATATTCACAACCAGCTCGGCGCAAATAATGGAACTTCAATTACTTATCAAGAAAAAGGAAAAGGGACATGAAGCAAACCATTGAGACGTTCTGCTTCAGGAAGATGGAACCTCTTCATCCATGCCCACCAAGGAATAATTGAGGTGTCGAAAAGCACAGGATCTTCATTACTTGATGACTCGGGGTTATCTTCTAACCACTTCCTTCTCCTAACCTCTGCAAATGAATAGCCATCAATTGTTATATTGCGGTTATTTCCAAAAAAGGAGACTGTTGAAAATGTCTACTACCACTAGGCACAACCGATTAAATCTTAAAATCAAGCGAGCCAATGAATTATCAAGAAGGCATCAAATGTAGGTAAATGACTGCAAGGAAGGATGAAAGTTGCAACTTTTTGAAGTGTATTAGCAAATGAGTATAGCGGAGGAAAGGGATCAACAACACGTAGTTAAAAACTAACAACTGCATATAAGCTAACATAATCCATCAATTCAAGAAAGTCATCATTTCATGTGAGTAATATTTTGGATTGAGAGGCATCTTCGATGAACATCTTCTCGTACTGTCTGAAATTACATCAAACTTACAGATAATTTTAGTTCAAGAGTTTGATCCAGCCAAAGTGCAAGAAAGCACATCTATGAATACCTTCTAGTCCATGGCTCCCCCATGTTGTGTGCCGCAAATCCTTCACAAGCAAACTTCATAAACAATTCTGCTCCACAATTTCTTAGTTGCTTTATTTCATGCTCATTTCAATCTTTTAAAGTTCATCTCTAACCCTGCTTAAGGTTCAAAAGCATTTAAGAGACACTTCTCTTACAAAATACTACTCCTTTCGTTCAATTTTTGTGTCTTACTTTCCTTCTTAGTTTTCTTTGAAAATGACTGCCTCTTTCTCTATCTAGTAACTCTTACGTTTCCGTATCTGACATGACATGTTTAAGGCTACAAGATCCAAAAAATAAATTAGTATATTAGACAAAGATAAATTAGTATATTAGACAAGTCTTTGGTAAGACCACAAGATCAAAAAATACCCCTCATTTTCTTTAACTTTGCCTAGTCAAACTAAGACACCTAAAATGAAACGGAGGGACTAATGCCTTTGGACTTCTTCATTTGGAGACCAAGACTCAGCATTACACCATCTCCAGAAACACTGGATGACATCAAATTGAAAATGATCAAGTCATATATACTGGATGGCATGCACACCCAGTTCCAAACAATCCAATTATAGTACTTACATATATTTCTTTGTTTCATTTTAAATGACACT